ATTGACAGGGAATGAGGCTGTGTTAGCTGACCTTCTTTTACTGAATTGAGCACTGGTAAGACAGGGGTCAGGAGCCCCACTGAAAAAAGAATTAAAAGACAATATATTTGTGTATCATAAAAAGAGGAAAATGTTAGATCATTAGAGAAATGGAAAGACCAGTGTAACAACTTTCTGTTTCTGTACCTGCCTTTTCCTTCCTTTCCTCCTTCCTTCCCTTCCTTTCCACTCCCTCCCTTACCCCTCCATCTTTCTTATCCTGATAGAGAAGAGGAGGCTTCTGAATGGGAATTTAAGCTACTTGTTATTCACAGATCAGCCTGTTATTTTCCACACACCATATCTAGTTGGTGTGTGGAAATCAGTGGAGGTTGCTCTGAAAAGCAAAAAAATCTGCAGAAGATCAGGGGAAGGTCTCCAGGCTTGCATCCCTGGCCTGTAAACAGATGTCTCAGGAGCAGATGCTCCTAAAGCTCTCCAGAGGTGTCTGTCTCTAAGGGTGCTGTTCAGTCCAATCATTTTAAAGCCAGATGCTGGTGGTTTTTTTTTTTTTTTTTTTTTTTTTTTTTTTGGTTTTTCTCCTGTAAAACGTAGAAGGTGAAACCTAGTCGGTAGGCTTAAGGGAGCCACATAAGTACCAGCTGGGTCCTGAAATATTAGGAAACCGTTGCTTCCCTCAGACCTGAAAGTGGAAGAAAGGGACGCTTTACTGAGTGCCATGTGTGTCACGTTGTGGAAGAGGCCTTGTGCCACAGGAATTTGACAGAGGATAAATTACTGACCAAAACTGCAGCCGAACAGGAAAGGACTCATGGTGCTTTACTCATCCTCGGATCCTTTGGCTTGTAAATCTCTTGCAAGTGCGTTCTTCTGGCCAACCCAAGCACAAATGAGAGGACCAGAAGTCCAGTGCTGTAGTTAGTGGAGAACAGGGTGGGCAGAGGACAGAGGCCCACAGTGAGCAAATCGGAGGGCACAGAGAAAGTCTCTCAAACCTTGTAAGGAGGCAGATGGACACTCCGATCTGGAGCTCAGTGGAGGAGTACCACTGGAGGTGCCGCTTAGGAAGTCCATCAGTGTTTCATATGCTAATATTTGTTGAGCCATTTTTTGTGTTATCCATTACACCAAAATTCCACATGCATTGTTAGCTCAATTAATTCTCCTAACAACACTAAAGGTTAAGTACCATTACCTCATTGTACACAATAGGCAACTGAAGCAGTAAGAAGTGAAGTAATATGTCTAAGGTCACACAGCTATTGGATGGCAGACCCAGTAATCAAACACCAGGCGTTGCTACCCCCACCCGGACCAGTGATAAAAACCCATTATTGCACAAGCTTACTTCTCTGAGAGAACAATTACCAAAGAGATATGCATTGGGTCACATCATAATTTGAAAAACACAAAACTCTGCCCTGTTTTTAATTCTTTTTCTACTCCTTTGAAAAGAAACAATTCTGACAAGAATTCACTAGATAAGATATTCCAAAGTTGAATGTCCCAGTTTGGGTATTGCTTTTGACGAAGGGTATTTGCAGACTAGAATATTAGTAACCCACATACTCACTCCACCTCAAAAAGAGTAGATTCACTTTTATCTTGGGAACAAAGCTGGATAGAAAAGCTTTTTTAACTTTGCTTAATTCATGAAACATTTATCTTCGAGTCAGGTTTTGTTACAGCAGCACAAATGTGGCCCGTCAGCACTTCCATTATAACCCTCCATTTCCAGGGCTTTTCAGGAGTGCCTTGGAGACCTTGCTTTGAACTGACTTGGCATTCAGGATTGAAATCAGAAAACTACATTTTCCTTACCAATTAATCAAGTAGTTTACCAATTCACAAGATAGAGATGGCCAAATCAAACATTTTATTAGTGCAAAACATACCATAAAGCAAATTGGTCAATTTAAAACTTTTAAAAATATTAAAACTCAGTATGTAGTATAGCATTAGATGATTGCATATTAATTCTTAAAGAAAATGAGCTATTAATGCTCCTAGAATAAAAATAATAGTAATTATAATATCTTACACTGTTCCTGTTTGATTTTATATGTAATTTATTTCTTCTTTGGGAATTGGGATAATTTGAAGTTATCAACATTATTAAAGGCATAACAGTATCTAGGTATGGAACCATAATCACAACGAGTGTGGGGTAACGTCTATATACATTTGTGTGAAATTTAAATGTATTTAGGGGACTTTTTCATTCTGAAAACTGGATTAATAGCACACCCTGATTCTGTAAATAAATGTTTGAAATTTAACTTGCTGAATACAGCAGCAATTTTGAGGTCCAAGTTGAGCTCGGTGATAGAAAATTTTGCTTAATTTATTAGTGACCAACAAAAGTGAGAGACCATCATTATGATTTACCACAAATAGCTCACTTTGTGTTTTTTCTTCCTGCAATCTCTCTGCTAGCCTACAGTAGGTAGTGAATGACAGAAGATGTAGCTGTTTGGGAATATCCACTCTCTTGCCCTCTAACTTCTCTGAAGTTGCAGTGGCTGCTGTGTTGTTTCAGAAGCAGGCTGGCAAACTCCCACCTGAGGACTTTTTCTCTCCAGCTTTTCTTTCTGCTTGGAATACTCTTTCTCTGGCTATCTACTTTGTTAACTCCATACTACCTACAGTCTTTGTTCAGATCTTACCTTGTGAATGAGGCCAAACTGGATCGCTCGGCTTGATGATATGATTTTCCCTGAGTCACTAGAGGAACAGAAGTTTCCTGCGTGTGCTCTGAAGGCTGGGGAAGTGAACAATAGACAGACAAATGAGAGAAAAAGTGTACGAAGTTACGGACGTGCCTCCGCATGGGGATTCTTGAAACATGAAAATGAAAGGAGGGACGGATGGGTGAAATACCTTCTTTGCTGGGGAGCAGGAAATGGAAAGTGAGGTCCTAAGCAGGTTCAAAACTCTAGTAAAGGACTTTTAGGAAAATTGACGGAACCCCCCAAAAAAGGCACTAGATTGTGAATGACTCCTTTTTTAAAACGAAGAACAAGCAGTAGCGATGGCAGAATCTTCCTAGATGAGGTGACAATCCTTAGTCTGCCATCCCAGGGATGCTGAAACATCTTCAGGAAGTTCCAGGACAACTGTATAATTTTTGAAAGTGCTTCCTTCAGTCATGGAAGGGAACTTGGAGATAGCTGGCTTCTGAGAGTGGCTTTCCACCTCAGCAGGTCAAAGCAACACACTTTGGTCTCATTCTCTGAGTCCCAGGATGTCAATCTTGGTATTGATATCTCTAACCCTGTCAGATATTTTCTTTTTATATGCTTATCATTTCCTAACACTTTTAAATATTGTCTTAAGAAAATCTACCTTTTGCTATTAGGTAGCAAAGGTTCTTTGTATGTTTTTCTGGTTGTCATATACTGAACACTTAGAATTATATCTAATAAATTAATTGTTCAAAAATTTGTTAAATGAAACTTGTAACACGAGTTTCCAAAACCTATTCCCGATGCAGTTTTTCTGTTCTAAATAGTTTGAATTATTTCCATAATATAGTCAATAATTTTCTCTACATGTTTGTGTCAAAATGAAAAGTCTTAGCTGTAGATATTCATTGTAGTGTGTTACAAATCCATCTTTCCTGAAAACATTTAAACTGAATTTTGGAAGTTGTTGTAGTGAACTTTAATGTCTTTTAGAAAAGATAAGTAGAAGTTAAATACGAAGTACAGTTTCCACCAAAGGTTTAGCCTGTATTTTAAAACACCACTGTATATAATTTATAACACTTTTATCCATGAGTTAATATTATTGCTAAACTTGAAAATTTATGGAATAAATTGTGATTCTGTAATTTTAAAAGAACTAGGAAAAAATATAAAGATCTTGTTATGAATTAAAAACTGGTGGTCAACTTAACAACAGTTAAGTTGACATAGCTGAATGAAATCAGCATGGTGCTGAGCATAGATGTTCCACCTGAGGAAAGTTGCCATCAAAAATAGAGGCATTGTGGGTTTCTCTAAGTTTTGCTATTTGAGCCCTTGGTTCTCTGGAGGAGCTCATCATGAGTAGCTTGCCCATTGTGAGTTCTAACATTGTTATGGAGGAGCTCGGGACCTTGTTGGTGAGAGTGGCTATGGTTCACTTTGTGGAAGCTCTGGTCCTTACATCAAGCATAGCTTCCTGGCTCCAGAGAAGAAGACGTGTGCCACTTAATATCCAGGACAAACTCATCATGCTGGCTTTCTCGCATGTATTTGACTGTTAATTTCAAAGGAGCTCCAGACCGCGGTGCCACTGAGGATGGCTGTGGTGCTTTTCAGGACAGCCCTGGTCTTTATTTTGAGCTTGACTTCTCGGCCTCAGTGTGGAACCCTCAACCTACCAGCACAGCTCCTTCACCCTGCTGGCATAGAGTTTCTAACTTCCACCCCTGACCTTTGGGCCTGTCCAGTGCAGATTTGTAAAACAGTCTAGCATGAGACCTTCTCATGGTCTCTAGACCTCCAGTTGCACTCAGGTGAGGCACTGTCATGAGCTCTGGGTCTTCAGCTGCACTCATGCAGGACATTGTTGTGGGATCCAGGCCCTTGGCTAAATATTCTATATTTCCTGCATTTTCTTGTGTTAACTCTGGGTGACCATCATAAAATATTGTAAACTCTCTGTCCTGATTCTAATTATTCTCTTTACAACCCCTGACCATAACAGATCTCTAGCCCCAGCCTAGCACTATTGAAAATGCTGTGTTAAAAGAAAGTTATACTTAGGAAGGATTCATCACTAGCTCAGGGTACAAAAGCAAGAACTGTAGTTTGTATGTTACCAGCATCATGGCACCACATCCAACCTGTCCGATTCCAGATGGTGCTTAATGACAAAAACTAATATTTTCTATCTTTAGAATGTGTTACTTGTATTAATAGGCTAAAAATACTCTAAAGCTTTACTGAAATGAACTTTCAATTTCTTTCACATAGCAGATGGAATTTTATTTTATTTCTGCTTTGTCTTCCTAGGGCAAATGTGAGCAGTCACTCTATGGGCACATGCATTCTATCAATGATGCCATCTTCAGTCCTACGGTGAGTTCAATTCTTCCAATAAACTGTTATAAGTGCAAATGCATTCTTATGAAAAATTTCCAAGGTGAAATGATAACAATGCATTTGGGGAAATAGCAATTTTAGGTATTAATTATAAACAGTGATGAATGTATAATGGAGAAGTGCAGAATTGTAACTCATATTCTCTCACATGCAGACAATGGAGAATAATAGGGGTAATGAAAATTTCTCTTGTACTAAATTCCACTCACCCATTTTAAAGAACCTTTTGTGTAATTTGGACTTCAAAAAAGTAAGCAGGATATAGATTGCATTAAAATGTATATGTGAAATTTTAAAAAAGTATTTGAAAGGAACCCTGAATAGAAAGTTAGAGAAATAAAGTTTGTCTCAGTTTACAACATACAAACGGATATCAAAAGTATTTTATCTGCAATTTGATATATTCAGATATAAGGATGATTTCACTAATCATAAAAACTGCTAAAGTTTGCTTTTTGTTAAGCCCATTGAGGATATCTTTTAAATGGTTCATATCATAATGCTGCATGAATGATATAACTTCCTACATTGTCAGATAAATATGATTTGACTAGATAGATGGCCCCTCAAATTTTTCCAAACTCTGAATAATTATTTCTAACACTTTAATTTGTCTCTAAGTTCCCAGTAGAGTGAGGTCCTAATTCTATATCTTCTTTTCCAATTAACTGAAACACAAATCTGATAGGTTATTTACATCTAACTTAAAAATAACAGTGTAGACAAAATTCTGTTACTATCATGCATTAATATTCTTTTAGAAATAACAAAAATACTCACTAAAAATTACATGTACTAAAAGAATGTTGATTGCTCCAGCTGAAACTGTGCTAGTGTCATTCTCAGTCCAGGGAATTTTAATGATAGACTAAGCTACAATTATATTTTAAAGGGATTTGTCTTTGTATAGAAGGGTCCATTTAATAGACTGTAGTGAGCCAATTAGTTGAAAAATATATTACAGATTGGTTCTAGATAACAAAATTTTATTTCTAGCAGACTGTAGGAACATTTAAGTACTATAAATCTATATGATATTTATGGTAAAATTCTACTAAGTAACATAGTTTCTCGTGCCCTAGGAAAATTAAATAGACTCTGAAATGAAGTAAACTAATAATTTGAAAGTCAAGCATTTTATTTTGATAAGTAATATCATACCTGAAATAGATGCACCATTCAACTTTCTAAATACGAAATTTAGTAAATATTGAACTAGCCAAGTGAGATTCACCAAATCAGCAAGGAAGGGAAGTACACATTAATTATATGTATTTCAAAGGGCAAAATGAATACAAGGTCCAGGTGTCCCATGTCAGGGTGACTAATCTGCTTTTGTTACATACTTTGTTCACATCAAAAGGCTGTTACAACACTCTTCCTAATCAACTTCTTAAATCCTTATTGAAAATTTCTATTAACCTAGCTCTTTTTTAATGTAAGCACTTACTAAGTAAGTCTTAAGGGAAATGTTATGATGACTGATATTTATAAGTAGAATTCTTGGTCACCTGTATTAATTTGTTTAAAAATGAGTCGCGTCACACACTTCCTGAATTGGATAGCAGTTATGACTCTGAAATGAAGCACATGCTAAGGACTTTCAGGGTCTGTTGAAAACTTGTCACTGTGACACAGTTCTCATTCAAACACATTACCAAATTAGTGGCAGCAAATGTGTGTATGGTGCAGAGATAGCAGTTCGTTGCTTGGTATTAGCCTTGCTGATTGTTTGAAGCCCCTAGGGAGAGGTGCTCATATACCTTATGAGCTAAAATTGCATGTGGCTGTCTACATGAATGAAATTTTAGGAAAATTCTATAGCAGAGATAGTTTGTAAGCAGATATCACAATGTTAAATTCAGCATTATCAGTCTAGCAACCAACAGGCAGATAAAGGGATATATAAACAATAATCATGTGTGGCCCTGAAAAACTAAGTAAAATTGTATTTCTGTGTTCATAATATTAGAGCTCTGATATCTTAATTTTGAACTAAATTATCATTGAAAGTATTTATTTATTTTGAATCTATTTTACAGTGATTCCTAATGAGATAGCCTTCTTACAAATCAAAACCAAAAATCAAAAGAAAGTTCAGAGATTACTGGAAAATATTAATAATTTAATATAAGGAAAGAGTTTTTAAAAACTACTATAGAATCCATAGACTTGTATGTGTCCTGTATGCAGAGCAGGAAAAGGACTATTACAACACTGTTCCTGATCAACTCCTCAAATCCTTATTGAACATTCTTATTAATGTATCTCTTCTTTAGTGCAAGTATTTATTAACTATTAATAATGTATCTCGATGGGAAAGAATCTCCTCTGGTTTCCATTTTCCTGGAAGTTGACCTTGCTAAAAATCTTCTTGGATTTCTTTCCGTTCTCCCTGTTACTTTTATTTTTCACTTTATCCTCACCTTCAAATTCATCCTATAATCATGTTATATTTATTAGACATACTGATATATTTTATTATTTCATTGCCTACAACTGACCTGTTTACTTTCCTTCCTTAGTTCGAGGTTTCATTTTCTTCTTGCTGGAGAATATCCTTTGGTAGTTCATTCAGAGAGAATGTATAGTTAGTAAATTTTCTAACTTTGTATATCTGCAATTATCCTTATATTATTTCCATCCCAGAATTCCATTTTGTTTTGGCAATAATCTTGTGGATGAGATTCTACTGTCAATGTGGAAAATCTGTTTCTGACTTTCTGTCTGATATAATGTCATATCTTTGATATCATATATTTGGTTTTGCTGTGATATGTCTACATGGGAATATTGCTTTTCCTCTTCTCGTTTTCAGTTCTGGAACTTTTTCAGCCATGGTTGTCTTTAAATATTGTTTTTTGATCATCTTTTTCTAGTCTGTCTTTTAGAAATTCCTTTTTGTATTTTTATTGAAATTTGTTATTTAATCTTACATTCCTTAACCTCAAAGATATTTTCTATGCTTTCTGGTTCCCTCTGTTGCATTCTGAGTAATTTTCTTGATTTATCTTAAAATTTATTAATTTTTCCTTTGGGTGAGTGACTCCTGATACTATATTCCTCATATAATTTTTAATGAATTATTTTCAAATTCTCTACTTTTGTTCATTACGTGTAACTTAGTTTCAGGCTTCATGTTATTTTTTCTTTTCTTTTTTGCCCTATAATTCATAGATTCTATCAAGTTTTAGTGATCGGGCTACTTATGCATTCCTTCCTCCTCTCCACTGCCCAGACATTTCCAACACCATTTCATCCTCATCTGTTTCAGTGTAGACTTCAGGGTAGACGTCCCACTGAAACTGCTCTTGCTCTTCATATCATTATATTCTGTAGCTAGTCTATCCTTATCAGACTTCACTTTTCATCATCATTTAAAATGTTCTTCTCTCTTGAGTCCTGAGAAGTGAAATATCCATAATCAATCCTTCTCATCTACTGTGCTGAATTCCTTGTTACTTACCTGTTAAATATTAAACTATTTCAAGACTTAGTCTTAAACCGTGTTCTTTAAAAGTTTCTCTTCTTCGTTCATCTTATTCAAGCTGCAACATTTAATTGCATCTGCAGGTTCAAAATTTGCAAGTAGATCTTACTCTGAATTCCAGACTCACCACTGCCTATTGTATATCTGTTTAAATTTTTGTCAGTTATCTCAATTAAATATTTTAAAAATTGAACTCTTGCTTTTCATTTTAATTTCAACGGATCCTTTTCCCTGATTTATCAGATTAGTAAATACCACCCTGGTCATCCTGATACAGAAACAGGAACTATGAGTCATAGTTAGCAAATGTCTTGGGGCTTTCTGTTTGCTTTTTCAGAAATTTCTCTTCACTGGAATTCAATGAACAGAAATGAGAAAAAGATATTTCAGTGTTGTATGACTCAATGTCTCCAGCATCTAGTACTGTATATTTTAATATATATATATATATTCCGGTAAGGTATTCTGGTAAGGTAATGAAGGAATATATGCAAAATTCTGAACAATTTTAACACAGAATTATGTTACAACATTGTGTGATATTCATTTATTGATATAATCATTTATTGCCCTACATTCTGCAGGTGGTGAGCTACAGAATATTTTGCAATAAGGACAAATTAGTTATTCCTTAGAAAACTTCTATGACATCATATTGTTCCATGAATTTGAAATTATCAAATTCTAGTTATATTAGTTTCTTGCTAGCTTTTGGATTCTGGTAGTATCTTTCAAAATTTAACCTATTTTTAACCTAATAACAATAAAAGAAACACAGCTGCAGTACATATTTTTCACCTTAACAAAAAAAATCTAAAATTATTCTAAGTAAATCTTTTAACTATATTAAGTGAGCTAAATCCTATTAAAAATAGATATCACTCAAATAGAAGTATTTTGTCTGTTCCATATCAGCATATATCATGTAGTCATTAGGTATTTAAGAGATTTAAATTTTACCTTAGATAGGTTAATTGCTTTTTTAATGTTTTCATTTATATTTATATAAATGCATTAATTTGAATTGTTTTCTTCATTCATTGATAAACAAATACATTCAATCACTTACCTAAAAATATTATCCCTATTCCATTTTAGCAAAAGAATTTCTGACTCCTGATTTTTTTTTTATTATTGAAAATAGAACAGAAAGCAATTTCAGTTTCTGGCCATTTCATATCAAGAAATGTAAACAATGTTTAGATTATGTAGCATTGATCCTCTAAGGGACAAATGATGTCAGGCTGTATTTATTCACTACAAGAATTTCAATTTTTTTTAATCGTTCAGCAATCCAGCTTGATGTCAGCTACCATTTAGCTGGGTCAATAATATCGATACTTGATGTCAATTCTTTTATATTACTACAGCTAGATGATGCATAACTCAAAACTTTTAATTGTGTGCTAAAAAACACTGGCACAGATTTTGTCCATCCAAAGAAATAGAAAATTTAGGAACATGAACCATGCCATTTTTATTTTCT